TGTATCTGTAGGCATAAATGTCGTGTCTGCGCCCCATCCCGACGTCACTCACCACCTCACGCCTACATTCGCCATAACGCCGGCGATATGTGCATCCTTACTCTCTGCCGCCCAGTTCGTCAAGCCCGAATGGCTCTCCGAAGTCATTCGCCTCGGTGACCTACCAGCAAACAACAATCCTGCCACCGGAACGTCCTTGGAGCAAACTTTCGCCCTCCCGCTCACCATCAAATTCCGCCCAGCGTTCTCTGCCGCGCTCCCCGCCTCTGCTAAAGCGTTCAAGACGTGGGAGCCGAACGAGGAGCGACTCAACATGCTCAGAGGGCACAGATTCCTCTTTGTCGGAGAGAAAGGACACGAGGTAGACGGAGATATGCGAGAGCTTGTCGTGCGTGGGCAGGGGGAATGGGAGGGATTCAGCGTTCAAGCAGGCAGAGTGAAGTGGCATCAGGTCCTTGCAAAGGGACATGAGCGCGTCTCGAAGCCGGGCATGAAGGGTCTAGTTGTGGTCGCAGATGGGAAAGCTATGGAAGCCGCAGTAGGAAGGGCGGAGTGGCAAGAAATTGTTGACGAAACCAAGAGGTGAGTTTACCTTTGCTTTAATATAGGCTTTAGCTGATGAGTATGAGAACAGTTTCGGCCTGCGGTTTAGGCCCAAGGAGGATGTGCTGACTGCTGTCGTACAAATTGACGTATCCCTTATCGACTGCTCACTCGCCTCAGACGAAAATGACTGTAAGTACGAACAGATACACCAACACACGATCGCTGATACCGCTTTGAATACCTAGCGGGACATAAAGCCTCATCGCCGCTGCCTGACTTCGTACCGAACACACATCCAGAGGAGCCATCATATCCACCCGACACCGCTCCTGAGGAACCTACCTCTCCTCCGCGCAAAAAGCTAGTACGACGGGCGACGCGGTCTGCATCGCGCGCACCCTCCGCTCCTCCAGAGCCAGAGCCCATGCCCGATCCCCCGCCACGGAAGAAAGTACGCGTCTTACCATGACCTAACCAAACAACATCGCTCACGTCGTTGCAGCCACTTACCAGACGTGCCAAAACTGCAAAGCTAGAAATTATCGGGATCGACGACTCGTCGACTATAATGGATGTTGAGCCGGACATCGCGGGCCCGTCGAATCCTGACCCCGTACCAAATGCCAGCACGACAGTAAGTCTACGTTCGAATCTCGCCTTCCTGACGTGTCCTCATCCTTCCTCCTCCAAGGCATCATCCCTACCGCGCTCGTCGACTTTGAAGCGTCGCGCAGGAACCGCTGTGCCCTTCTCCCTGTTCGACGACGACGAGCCCTCATACAGCCACACCCAAACCGAAGAATCCGAACCGCCGCTCAAAAAGTTCAAAGCGCTTTTCGACGCCAGCGATCCGGACAAAGTCGCCGAGAGCGGTATGAGCTACGGCCACCGCGGGGAAAGCCAACAAAGCCAGACCTTGACGCAGAGCGGCAGCCAGCGTGGCGGGAACGACGCCTTGGCCGCGGTGCCGGAGGAAGAGGAGGAAAGCATCGGGACTTCGCTTGTAGCGCGGGGTACGAAGCGCAAGGCGAGTACGCAGGACGTTGAGATGGCGATTATAGAGGATGAGCTCGCGCCTACACCTGCAGCGGGCCCCGCCGCGGCGAAGAAACGGGCTGTGGAGAACGTGAACGCAGTCGCGCGGGCCCCTTCGAAGCCCCCGTCCGCCGTCGCCACCACTAAACCACCTTCTGCCAGACCGCCGTCGACTGCCACTGTCAAGCCACCATCCAAGACGGGGTCTGTCACTGGCGCGAAGAAAGCTGGCACGGGTGCTGCGCCCGGGAAACCCGACACAGACAAAAATTTCCTCAAGGCGATCGCCTCTACGAAGCGTGGCAAAAAGAAGGAAGACTTGTTCGACCGCGAATTCAACCAGCTGCGTATCTCCAAGCCCGATCTGGAGCATGACAACGACGAGGACAAGCAGGAGGAATGGAAGGTGTTGGAGGATTTTGGCGACGAGCGGAACATCCGGGGAAATTTCATGGTCGTTCTCGAGATGGAAGTCCACCGCGGCGAGAGGAGGGGACCGGTGTCGAATGAGGCGTGGAGGGAAAGGCCCAACTTCAAAAAATTCAAGAAGGTACGCTCGTATTCGCTAAATCGTGCACAAAGCTGACTAGTGACTGAGCAGAGGCCTACCCCCGGATCTCGGACAACTATCGAGCTCGTCGTAAACGAGGAAAACGATTATGGAATGGGTGCTGGTATGTTTCCTCAATCATGTGTAGCGTTCGCTAGATTATTTCTCATCCGTCGTATCAGCCTACTGGAAGGGAAACAACACCGAGTCCCAGTCCCAGTCTCAATCTCAGTCTCAGTCCCAAGGTGACTTCGGCTCGCATCCCAAAACCCAATCAAAGGCAAGGGCGCAATCGCGAACCCAGACCACACGCAAGGCCAAAGGCCCCGCTCCTGTCCTAGACGACTCCGACTCTGAAGAAGCCCCTCCCCCGACAAAAAGGACACGAAGCTCGGCAGCTCCGACGAAGAAAACGGGAACGCAGAAGCGACAGCCGCTTTTCATCGAGTCCGATTCTGATGAGGCGCCTAAGGGATCGGGTGCCAAAGGATTCGACCTGGAGGGTCTTGACGAGGAAGATTTGGACGAAGCCTTGACGTTGCAGTCCAGTGTTGAGCCCACTAGACGGCCGAGGACTACGGCGCCTAGAAAACGCACCACCGCCGCGCCCATCGTTGTAGACGATGATTCTGATGATGAGGCGACTTTCAAGGGGTTCCGCAAGAGACGGTAAACCGCAGGATTAATTTTACAGCCATATTTCGCTTTTCCGATCTAACGATGTCAGCGCCCATTATAATTAACGATACTCTAGTCCCCTTTGTGATACCTAGATACTCGCAGTATGTACTGTCTATAGTCCGAGCTCCTCGTTAATGGAAAATCCAAGGCGACGTTGCGTTTTCGTAGCCTTCCGTCCACCAGTTTGCCTATCGAGCAGACGATATGTCAGGATCTGAGCTGGAGCATATGCAATCGATGAACGCGTACCTCTGTTCCTGGCATACAAAACTCTCCGGGGCGCCTTCCCAGTCCTCTAACACATACTTGCCAGCTGTCGTGCCCTCAACATCGTTATCCCGCTCGGGACCGAACAAATCCAAGGCGAGCTGTGTGTGACTTACACCCGCATACGTCGTGACACACCGTGGGTTGACTAGGATGCGTGCGGGGGAGTACACAGAGTTCGGAATCGCCAAGTACTCGTTGATATTGTCGAGGGGCAGCGGCACATCGGAGTCCGGCATCGCGTCGTAGTCGGAGCCTGCATTCGCATCTGGGTCGGCGCTATCCTCTTGGCGCCGCACGTCCTCCTCCTTCGCTTCCCGCTTCCTCCGACGACCCGGCGCCGCGTTTGCAGCCTCGTCCACCTCCTTCACGCCGCGCTTAGCCGCACCCACCCAGAGATCCCGGCAGAACCACGCCTGGCTGCTGTCCAAGCACGCCGCATCCGGGCCGCGGGCGGGAGGGGGGTCACTCGTGGAGAGGTTGTGGTAGTCTGTACCTGCGCGGTACTTGATGCCCGCGTAGTACGACTGCGCGGGGTCGACGACGTGCGTGCCTGATTCGCAGCAAAAGACCTGGAACGGGAGATGCTGGACGTATCGGGCCGCACCAGCGCTGTCGCGTGGAGGGACAGCATCAGGTTGAGCGGAGGACTTGGACTGCCTGAACTGGTCTCCCTCGATGTCTCGCGTCCGCCAACTGTATTGCCGTCAGTAAAAGCTACTAACAAACGGTGGAAATTGTTTCGTACCGGTCAGAGAATATGAAAAAGCCGTTATGTTCCGCCCAGTCCATCCCACATACCATTGCTGCCTCGTTTGCCACGCTCATCTTAATCGTCTCGAGAATATCGTTGGGACAAGTGAACCCTTTGAGCCATATAACACGGTGGAAGGTGACCCCACGTTTCTGGTAAAGCTCGTGCAACGGCTCGAGCGCAAGGTTTTTCATATATGCCTCCTCCAAAGGGTAATACGCGTCTACGGGATCGACTGTCATCCCTGGGACCCTGCGTATCCGGAATGGAACGCCGAGGAGAATGAGCACAGCCTCACACAGGTCCGTGAGCGTTTCTGTGGAGTCCGTGGAGTCGTAATCGAGCATGGAGACAAACAGGCTGCTCGCACCGAGCCGTTTGACCATCTGGACGATGACTGCGAGCTGGTCGACGAGGAAGTGGTCGGCAGAATGGAGCACGATACCGATGTAGTAGAGGTGGTCGTTCAGGGCAAGTTCGTCGTATGATGCTTCGTATTTATTCTGCCCAAAAGGACGGGTGAGTGTTGGGCAAGCGGCTGCTGACCAGCCGTTCAGAGAGAGCAACTGCTCTATGGAACTATGCACGCTCTGTGCGTCCATCTGAGCTGTCTCAGAGCCAGTGATACTATCGTGATATCAGTAAACGCTAGGAATCACACATTCCGACACTTACTATGGTCGTTGAAACCGTTCCCAGTAGTCCGTGACACCATTCGAGATGTAATCGTCGAGCAAGTCCGGACGCTCGTCTCTGCCCACTCGCGCCTGGAGGAACTTGTATTTTTGGACATTCAAAGTCTTGTCAGCGCGTGTGACGCGCTCCAGGACATTGTGTTCGCGTATTTCATGGTCGGGCACAGACGAGGATGCAGGGAAGAACAAGAGTCTGACGAAAGCGCCGAAACAAAACAGCAGGACCAGGCGGACCAGAGTACGTCGTCGTATGAACACGGCTGCCATTGCCGCAGGGTATCACACCGCAAATACAGTAAAGGTCGGGGCCGTCCCTCGCAGTCAGGACCAAGTCGAGAGTTCAGTAAGTGGCACAACGAAAGTGCAGTGAGTGATCAGGACCAAGGACTTGAAGACGGAATCGGCTCCGTTACTTACAAAGTCCGGATCCACTCTTTTGATTATATTGGTCTCTACATTGTGCTCTTACAATCTCGACATAGCTCAGTTGGAAGAGCGCGGGACTGTAATGGATAATATCGTTATCCTGAGGTCGCTGGTTCGATCCCGGCTGTCGAGAGAGGGTTGTTTATTTTCTTTCGTTTTTCTTCCACTTTTTACCGCGAGCCACGTGGGGAGCCGTTCCTTCATATTTACAGAACGCGTCTCGAAGAATTCAGTGACTCAAAGTTGACTCGTCCCTTTCCCTCTCACCACCAACATGTCTGGCGTTCCACATTTAATGAGCCTGGCCGACCTCTCAGGGCCCCAAATTACCCGTCTAATCACTCATGCCCACTACTTAAAACATATGGCAAAGCCATGGCTGCTCCCCGTCAGGAACAACAGTCACAACAAGTTGCGCATGGGCTCCCAGTCCCTTTTCTCAAAATCCATTGCGCTGCTGTTTTCCAAACGGAGCACCCGGACCCGGCTCTCTGCAGAGACAGCCGCGTCTCTTTTGGGTGGGCAGGCCCTGTTTTTGGGCAAAGAGGACATCCAGCTCGGAGTAAACGAGAGTGCGAGGGACTCGGCGCGAGTCATCGGTGGAATGTGCCAGGGAATATTCGCTCGCGTCGGCGACCACTCTGAGATTGAAGTGAGCATGCCTTGGCACGTCCTGCTTCCATAAATCCTTATGCGAAATACAGGAACTCGCGAAATACTCGCCAGTCCCGGTCTGCAACGCGCTTTCCTCTCTTTGGCATCCTACGCAGACGCTTGCGGATCTGCTCACCCTACACGAGCACGCACACCTCTTCGCCAACGCCCAAGTTCCCGTATCGGATCCTCCCAAAAAGCCCCAGACTATTGCACCGTTACCAGAGCTCCGACCGCTCACGATAGCATACGTCGGGGACTCCGCGAATGTCCTCCATGATATGCTCGTCACGTATCCGCGTCTCGGGCACAAACTGCGTGTCGCGAGCCCCGACCAACCAAAATATCGCGCCCCGGCAGAAGTCTGGAGCCGCGTCCAAGAATTGGGATGTGATAAGGGCATCTGGTGGGGTGCAGACCCACGAGAAGCAGTTCACGGCGCCGATGTCGTTGTGACAGATACGTGGTAAGTTGCTTTAGCCTATGGGTCGTATATATATATTCTGAACAAATGACAGGATCTCCATGGGTCAAGAAGCAGAAAAGGCGCAGCGCTTGCAGGACTTCGAGGGATACCAGGTCACGGAGAAGCTCTGCAAGGAGGGCGGCGCGAACCCCGACTGGAAATTCCTGCACTGTCTCCCGCGCAAACAGCATGAGGTTGACGATGAGGTGCGCTTCGTGTGATTCCGGTCATATCTGCCTTCGCTGACACCTAGCTCCCAGGTATTCTATGGTCCGCGTTCGCTCGCGTTTGAGGAGGCGGACAACCGCAAGTGGACTATCATGGCCGTCTTCGAGTATGTTCATTCCTTCCCTCAGGCGTGCACTGTACTGACGCACTTTGCTAGCTTGCTTTTCGGCAAATGGGATCTTTCCGTCGGCAAGACACCTAAGTAAAATGCATGGCCTATCTAACTACTTTTACCCCCACCACGGATAGGCGTGGTTGCCGGAATAAAACATGCGTCGCTCATGTCTTTTTTTGTGAACGTGCATAATAAGTGTACGCTGTCTTCTGAGCGTGAAGCCCGACCAATTCAATGTCACGGACGAGTCTTGCGCAAGAGGTGGGCAGTACGAAGGCAGTTCGACAGAATTGATATTGCTCCCAACAGTCAAAAAAGTACAAACATGATAGATATTTTGTATCTACGAACTGCCGTTGACTCCATTTACCTGACTGAGCGCCGCGTCCGCTTTGCGCAGATCGCCCTCGCTGAGGCTGTTAAATGCACCTCCTCCCGGTGTACTCGCACCCGACATCACAGAGCCCGCGCGGGAGCGAACCTTCATAACCAACGGGCTGCAAAGGGAAAACCGTTATTCAGCTGGCATACAGCGGTGCAGAAGGGGTATACGCACAATGGATAGCCGTCTTCTTCATCCTCCGTGGAGCCGGGCCAGCTTTGGCCCCTATAATCACTCGTAGAGAGGCCTTGCATCTGCAGTATCAACCGTCAGTAAGGCGTGTGCGCGAGACACTCCAGGTGTGCGTACCTCCTCGGTCAACGTGCCGAGATCGCCTGGCGTGGCTTGTCCCCTCAGCCTGGGACTAGCGGGCATAGATCCCGGCGGCATCTTGGAAACGCCCGCGCCGAAGTAATCGAGATCCTCCTCTTCACCCTCGCCATCCCCGTGATAGAATGCATCCGGGTATGCGCGTCGCAGCGCGAGCTGTCTCGACTTGGAGTATTCGATGCCGAGGTTCTTCCAGTCCAACAGTGGCGAAAGGCGCTCAACACGGTTGCGCTGGTTGATGCGCTGGCGCCGGGTCTTGTTGCAGAACGACAGCATCTGGGAGGCGAGCTGGTTGACCGAATCTTCGACGGACTGCATCCGTCGGTCGATGATGTAGCAGCCTTCCTCTTCAGGCCGCTCGATAAGGTCTTGCATGAAACACCCAAAGCCAGACAGATTCGTCGTGATCGACGGGATGCCCATCTACAGATCATTAGCGTAGATCTAGAGTGCAGATATAAGGGTACCCACCACTGTGCATTCTGCCGGAGTGTAGCCCCACGGCTCATAGTAACTGGGGAATACGCCCAAATGGCATCCTCTGACAAACTCCTCATAGTCCAGTCCCAAGATAGGATTGTTCGAGTTGAGGAAGTCCGGGTGGAAAATGACCTTGACGCGGTCGCTCGATGCATTGAAAAGCTTAACACGGCGGATTTGGTTCAGGACCGGGTCGCCCGCGTCATCAGCCATATTATGTGTTGTGATCGGCGGGAGCGAATTCCGTTTCAACGCGAATATACGCCGTTTTAAGAGAACCTTGTCTTCCTCTGAGAGCAGCTCGTCAGGTGTGGGCACTGCCTTTTGGTCTCTGTATTATAGTGCTCGTGAGCCCAGAATGTGTTGTGGGGAAATATGGGTGGAGCGTACCCGTGGAAGCGAGCGGCATGGTTGAATAATCTTGAACCGACACGGTTCTGGATTTCTGTCACTGTATCGCGTAGCTGCTTAGTGACAGCCTGCCCCTTCAACGCCTCGATTGTATAGGAGTGCGTGGCTGCTGGCATGATGATGAAAGCTACGACGGTGACTGTCGAGCCTGCCTTCTGGAGGCGATGATTGAGACCTGTTGGATGTCAATTGTGTGTACGAAAACATTGGCAGAGAACTTACGCGCGAGAGATTCGATGAACATGTCTACACCCTTGTTTCGATATTCGTAACGACCTGCCGTGAACATCTTCCGTGAAATACGGTCAGCCGTGATTGAGTTTAAAAACAGATTGTCCTCACATATAGCGTGTTGTCGAGGTCAAAGTCAAAGTGGCCGTAGAAGTGACCCCTTACGAACTCGTTGATCTTCTCCTTGGCGGTGGAATGCAAATTCTGGAACTCGTGCATTGCCTGGAACTTGACGACGTTGAGGCCGTTCGGAACTACTCCGTCCGGCTTCCGCTTCAGCAAGTGCTCAGCCTCGTACGCGGTGATATGGGATACGGTCGTGAAGACGTCAGCGCAATGAGTAGCTGATCGTTCAATGCAGTAGCGGTGATATATGCCGCGCTTTCCCGCTTCATGGTCTACATCGAAGTATTGGAGGTTGTTGTAGAAGTCGACGCTGCCCGCACAGAGATAGCGGCCGAGAAGTGTCGCGTGCGTCGTGAACACTGTGGTAACATCGATGTGACGTTTCCGGCAGAGGGGGATCGCAAGGCCGGCCTGCCACTCGTGGAAGTGCGCGACGACAGCGGTATGCAGCTGCCTAGAGACATACTGCAGCCTCTGTTAGATCCGCAAAGCCATTCACACGATGAACTGCAGCTTACATCTCCGAGGAACCACGCCACAAGATATCCAAAAACGATCGTCTCGTTTGTTTCGTGATCATTAGGAGGCGACGGAATGCCAGCCAAGTTCCACAGATCTCCTTTCCACTCGTCCAGCCGGTGGTACTGACTTCCTGTGTCAAACAGAAGAACGTGTGGATTTCCTTCGATAAGCCAGCGGCCATAGAGCGCCTTTACGCCCTGCGCTCGCATCGACTCCAGCGTTGCGGCAAGGTGAGGGTCGGTTGGCTCCTGCGCCTCGACCTCCATGGGGGCTGTCTTGTAGCTGAGTGGGCCGATAAGACAATAACGGTCGCCATACTCGGAGACGGTGACGGGTACTTTCGTTTTGATGACGGTGTAGATTCCGCCTACTTTATTGGCGACCTCCCAAGCGCATTCGAAGAGCAGATGGTTATGAACATCGCGCTTTTCGTCGGACATTGCGACGAGCAACCTGGTAAGTTGTCAGTCTTAGATGGGGGTAGGAAAGAGAAAGACGAGCTCGAGGAAAAGGGGAAACCTGGAGAAAAATATGAACCAGTGTCGTTCAGCAAAGCAAACTCCAGATCCTGCTCGGCCCAAGCTGGCCAGGGGCACAAAATGACTTCATGCCCACGTGAGACTGGGACAGGTGGCGTGGGAATATATTTACCCCAGACTTTACCCCACCTGACCGTACCACGATGCTCGCAGGTTCTTGCGATAATCAGCCATGTCAAAACGGAGAAACATACAAACTTTCAAGAGCGCGGTCACTGCCTCAGTCCGATTCCTCAACGAATCTACGTTCAATGTGAGAGATCACAGTCGTGTCCCGGACGCAGTTCTGAGTTTCTGAGGTGTGCCTTTACTTCTCTGTTAACGAACGCTAAGTATCTTGACCTGAATTGTCGTGCAATGCCTAGATGCCCTCGACCGTTTAGAAAGACATAAATCAAGCCGTATTTTGAGTCCTGCCATGTGCATTGTGCAATAATTCTCTGCGAGCGCCGTGCCTACTCGTACGCTGTTCGACCAAGAAATGGACATTCGATCCAACCGACAAGGATGTAACTCTTAAATCTTTAATACATGGAAATACCAGCCTAAGCCCCGTCCGGGACTTCCGCGATGCACTCAATCTCGAAATCTGCATTCACCGGAAGGCTCAGTACTCCGATACAGGTACGAGCGGGCAGTGACTCGTTAT